AAATAAATAAATAAATAGATGTTGTTTGGCCAACAATGAGAGGCAATGCATAATGGAAAAGTTATTAGTTCTACTTTGATTTCTTAAAGACAGGCAGTTCCTTGTGAGATTTTATATTGTAGGAAAGCAGGAAAAAATCTCCATTGTTACCTGAGTGGAGCCCCATCCGGATCCTGATGGGTACCCCGGGGAGGTGTTTCACTTTGAACGATCCCACAGAGCTGAGGATATCCAGGGCCATGTTGGCGATTTCAGCAGCGTGCCTTGGCCCGTTGCGCTTTGGAAGTCCAGAAGCAACCATATAAGCATCCCCAATGGTTTCTACCTGGAAATTGAAGGTAATAGGTTTTTCCAAAGGACTAACTTAGTAGGAGGCATGGAGACCTGGAATTCTTCAAATCTCAAAAAATGTAAACCAAGAGACTACCATGAGAAGATGGAGCAAATATTTACACACATGGAACTATATGAAGGTTGTATGATGCACTTGATTAGTGGACAAGGATGATACATATTATAATGTGCAACAAGAGGCACACATTCACCTTCGTGCAAATGCCCAACAATGTAACATCTTTATTAGCATGATGATGAAACAGATGTAACGCTTTTCAGAAATGAGTCAACAGTGTGATTCGGCAGCTAAAAAGGTCAGTGCAATTGTAGGTTGCCTCTTGTGTTTAGGTCAGTGGTTCCCAATCCTTTTTTCACCAGGGACCACTTGACCAGGGACCACTCTCTAACATTAGTACCAAAAGGGTTACACATTAGTTTTTGGTCAACGTTAGATTCGGTTTGCTTATTTGAGGTACTGATTCAGAAAATTACATTGGCTAGACATCAGCTTTCGTTTCTGATACAGAACATATGCCATCCAGTGGTCACCATCTACTTGCCCACTAAAAACCATATCTAATAATCTAGAGCTGCAGATCTTATTTTACATCTCACATCCCGCATTATCACGGGGTGTACCCTACACCACTGGAAAAATTACACTACTTAGCCGGTATTGCACCACCTGACATCTGCCGGGAAGTAGCAGCCAATAGTGAAAGGACCAAGGCAGAGACATCTCCAGCTCATCCCCTGTTTGGGTATCAGCCAGCACGTCAACGACTTAAATCTAGAAATAGTTTTCTAAGATCTACAGAGACACTCGCTGGAACACCTCAGCAAGCGAGAGTCCAAAAGTGGCAGGTTCAAACCCAGAACCTCAACCAATGGCTGATACCAAATGAGAGACTCCCCCTGGGGACTTGGAAGGCGCTGAACAGACTGCACTCTGGCACCACGAGATGCAGAGCCAACCTTCAAGAAATGGGGCCACAAAGTGGAATCCACGACATGCGAGTGTGGAGAAGAGCAAACCACTGCCCACCTGCTGCAATGCACCCTGAGCCCTGCCACATGCACAATGGAGGACCTTCTTGCGGCAACACCAGAGGCACTCCAAGTGGCCAGATACTGGTCAAAGGACATTTAATCAAATACCAAACTCGCAAATTTTGTATTTTGTCTGTTTGTTTGTTTTGTTCTGTTAGAAATGTAATACAATTGACTGGTTGCCCTGACATGACAAATAAATAAACCAGTGGGCTGTGACCCACAGGTTGGGAACCACTGGTCTAGATCAATAAAAGTTACAGTCCCATTCTATTCTGCTTTGGTCCAGAGGAAAGTGAACACAGTGGTGAAAGGTTTTTTCACCACTGTGTTCACTTTCCTCTGGACATCTTTCATCATGTCAATATCTTTCTTGAATTGTGGTGCCCATTAGTGGATACTGGATAATCCCAGGTTAGATCTGACCAAAGCAGAATGAAGTGGGACTATGATTTCCCTTGATCTGGACACTAGATTCTGTTTAATGCTGCCCAGAATTGTGTTGGCTTTTTAAACTGCTGCATCACACTCTTAACTCATGTTCAGCTTGAGGTCTACTAAGAGTCCTTTCACATGGACTGCTGTCAGGCCAGGTTTCACCCATCCCATATCTATGTGTTTCTTTTTTATTGCCAAAGTGTAGTACTGCACATTTCTCCTGACTGAAATTCATTTCCTTAGCTTGAGTCCAGCTCTCTAATCTGTGATGGTCATTTTGGATTCTGATCCTGTCCTCTGGGATCTTAGCTCTCCCTCCCAATTTGGCCCCATATGCCAATTTGATCAACCTGTCTTCTATTCCATCATCCAAATCATTGATAAAGATGTTGAATAGCCCTGAATGGTCCAGGAAAGAACCCAAATGTGCCCTTTTCCACTGGTTCCTTCTCTCCAGAATGAAGAAAGAGGAACCATTGGGAGGAACCCTTTGGGCTGAACAAGTCAACCAATTCCTGATCCACCTAACAGTAGCACATTTTCAGCCCACATTTTATGAGCTTCTTTATGAGAATGTCATGGGGAACCATTCAAAGGCTTTACTGAAACCAAGTTATACTATATTCATAGCATACCCTTCATCTACCAAGCTTGTAACTCTATCAAAAAAGAGGAGAGGTTCATTTGGCATTTCTTGTTTTTGAGAAACACATGTTGACTTTAAATTTAAAGACATTTTACAAGATCAACAAAGTGTCAAATCCATTTTAATCGAGGGCCACACCGACCTTATTGTTGCCTTCAAATGGTTCTTGACTCCATGGATGGAGAATCCATGGATATTGAGGGCCAACTATAATTCTTTACATAGTTGTCAGTGCTCTTTAGTTTTTAGGTGTTATTGAAGGACAACTCATATCACTTTTGATTATCTGCCATGCAGACTGGGGATAATGGGAATTACAGCCCAACAGCACTTGGGTTGAGGGAAAGTTAGAGGGAATTTTAAAGTCTAACACCATATTCACAAGCCTTGTATCTAAACTCAAACCTCACTCCTGTCTAAGCAGGGGAAACCTCAGCCTTCCAGATGTTCCTGTATCACAACTCCCACCAGCTCTAGTCATAATGTCTAATGATGAGGAACACAGTAGTCCAACATCTGGAAGACCATATACAATAGCATGGAGAGCCAGATTCGGAATGCAGGTCTAGAGTTGACACATGTGCTTTAGTAGAATGTTTCAGTAACTTCTCCTTCTCTCTAATAGTCTCTCTGAAACCAGAGCCATAACTTAACATTGGCATTAAACAGCAATAGACTAGGAATATGGAAAGCTATCTCAGATCTGGTGAGACAGTTCATCCATAACCATTCTTATCAAGCAAAGATTAGTCTTACCCAATATCTGTTATTTGCAATCCTTTGAAGCACCATATTGGCTGAAGAAATGTGGGAGCTCTACCTCCCTCTATTTTAATGTTTCCAACGACTGGCCCAAGCCTTACCTTGTAAACATCATGATGGCCAATGATGGCATCGAAGAGTGTGTAGAGGTCATTGAGAAGGTCCACAATCTGAATGGGTTCACTCAGGGCAGAGATGGCCGTGAAGCCAATGATGTCACTGAAGTAGATGGTGACCTCATCAAAATACTCTGGCTCAACGGTGCCCCCCATTTTCAATGTCTCTGCCACAGACCTGAAATGATGCAGGAACCACAATTCAGGTGATCTGACACTGAACAGCTTTCTGAGGCTGTACTGGGAACATTTGTCAAGGTCCTTTGAGCCAATTCAGATCAGTTCCCGTCTATGATAAACTTCATGAGAAAAAATAGATAGGGAAAACCTATGTACGGTTGTGCCTTATCCTCTCAATGGAATGCAGCTGAAACGCTATTCTGGACACTTGCTACTAAGACATATTATACATTCAATATTTCAGCTGTGCTGAAATACCAAGAGAACACATCTTCCTAGAAAGAACACTTCTGCATAATGTGCCTTGCTGTTTCCTGCAAAGGAAAGAGTGGATTTCGCTACAAACACCCATACAGTATTTTGACGCCTGAATAAAGTTTAGCGATTGCGAATTATCTTATCAGTTCACCCCCACAAAATCAAGAAATACTTTTCAAAGACCTCAGAATATATATTTCAATTCATTTATTGGAAAGCAATCATTAAATTAAGAGCTTATATGCCATGTCTAGAGGTAATTTTAACTACTGACGTTCGCCTGCATCTATTTAGCAAGCATCCTCATGAGGTAGTGAGCGTACTGTTGTGGAACTCAATTAAAAAAGGATTTAATATAATCTGTGGAATGCCACAGGAGTGATGACAACAGGACTCTTAGTCTGCTGGATGTAGGTAGTAGAATGTTTCAACCATGACCACCTGACATTTTAAATATTTAATATACCTTTTCCATACGTTGCGCTAAGCAACATTTTCTAATTTACTACCTTCAGTCTCAATCCTCATGGGACGTGGTTAATAGTTTTCAACGAGCGAGAGTTTTAAGCCTAAGCAAACTGTACAGTAATTTATACATATACCAGGCATGGCAAACTTGGGCCCTCCAGGCCAGGTGTTACAGACTTCAACTCCACAATTCCTGAAGCCACCAAATCGTCTGGAATCAAAGAAGGGCGACGGAGCGGTCCTCATCATGGACGTTGTCACGGCCATCTTTAAATTGTTGTACCCACTATATTTATTTATTTATTTAAAAGTTTTATATACCGACCTTCTCACCTCTCTTGAGGGACTCAGACCGGTTTCCAACCATAATATCACATACAGTTAAAAACATAATAATTCATTTTACACTAAAACATTAAAACAGTAATTACATTCAAAAACTACAATGGTCAGTCGTCACACTAACTCGTTGTTCATCATCCTTCATCCATATCTGGCTCACTCGTCGAATGCCTGTCTCCAAATGTTGTAGTTCAGCCAGAGGCTGAAGATGAGGGGATTGTCCTATCAGAGACTGAGGACTGATGGGCTTTCCAATGTTAGAAATGAGGGGATTTTAGATCATGGGAGGATGAGCCTCTGTCTGGTGAGAGAGAAAAGGCTTCAGAGTAGAGTGGAGAGGGAGATGCCATGGCATCAGAAGATAGGGAGAACCTTTCCTCTAGTCATTCCTTGGCAATGGAAGATAAGGAGCTGGAAGGCAGAGATCTTTCTCCTGGGAACACACTTGAGATCAGTAGGAGTTTGAGGCTTGATCTCTGGGAGAAGGGAGCCACATTATGGAGGTCACAGAGACTCCATAAGAAATCACAGAGACTCTGTAAGAAATTCTTGAAACAATTGAGAAATCCTTGAAGCAACAGAGCAGATGTCAAAGGCATGACTTCATGGCTCTGTAGACCTTAAATTAAAGGATTGTTTACTAAAAGGGTCAGAACAGGCAACACTACATTACCGTGTACACCTTGATCTTGTTTCACATTCAAGTCAATGCTTAAGTGTTTGGGGGAAAGTTTTGTGCTCATGTTCATGGATTCTTACTTTGAAAGAAGTTCCTGTATACCTGGTTATGAGTTTATTTTTATTTTTGACTCCTGTTTTTCCATGTACATTGTCCCTTTTGGAGCCCTTTTGGAGGAGACCTCTGATGTATGGACTATTGTCTTTTAATAGCTTATTTTCCTGTTGCTTTTTGGAGCATTGCTTTTTGTATTGCCTTTTTTATATTTTATACTAGCCGTCCCCTGCCACGCATTGCTGTGGCCCAGTCAGGTAATCTGGAAAATTAAGTAATGAGAAAATGTTGGTTTCCAATATATGTAATTTCTTCATGATTGTGAGTAAACGGTATTTCTTGTTGTTTCTTTGTCAGTGTTGATGTGGGGAGTGTGTGGTTTGCCTACTCTGGAATATGCAACATATCATACTCCTTCTTTAGGGGTCCCTTTCAAATCTATAATACTATATCTCTCTCTGAGTGTGTGTGTGTATCTATCTATCTATCTATCTATCTGACTGACTGACTGGATGGCTCTTTGTCAGGAGGGCTCTAATTACATTTTCTTGCCCTGGTGAAGGGAGTTGGACTGGATGGCCTTCTGTTGTTCATGGGGGTTCTGTGTAGGAAATTTGCCTCAGTTGTGTCGTTGTGAGATTCAGAATGCTCTTTGATTGTAGGTGAACTATAAATCTCAGTAACGACAACTCCCAAATGTCAAGGTGTATTTCCCCCAAACTCCATCTGTGTTCATATTTGGGCATATGGAATATTTGTGCCAAGTTTGGCCCAGATCCATCATTGTTTGAGTCCACAGTGCTCTCTGGATGTAGGTGAACTACAACTCCCAAACTCAAGGTCAATGCCCACCAAACCTTTCTAGTGTTTTCTGTTGGTCACAGGAGTCCTGTATGCCACATTTGGTTCAATGCCATAATTGGTGGAGTTCAGAATGGTCTTTGATTGTAGGTGAACTACCACTCCCAGCAACTAAAACTCCTAAATGTCAAATTCATTTTTTTTGAGTGAAGGACATACATTGGGTTGTTAGGTGTATGTTGTCCAAATTTGGTGTCAATTGGCCCACTGGTTTTTGAGTTCTGTTAATCCCACAAGCAAGCATTACATTTTTATTTATATAGATTCTTCAATAGTTTAGTTAGTAATACTGGACTCTTGTCTGATGCAAAGGTGAATCAAGGCCAGAGTGCAACACCAAACCTGTTTCGGAGGCAGGATTTGGTACCTTGCTGTTGTTGTTGTGCACCTTCAAGTCCCTTCCACTTTATAACTCTAGGATGACCTATCACTGAATTTTTGACAAGATTTATTCATGGAGTGGGTTATCATAGCTTTCCTCTGAGGCTGAGTAGGTGGCACTCATTCAAGGGCACCCAGTGCTCTTCCATGGCTGAACAGAGATTCCAACTTGAGTCTCCTAGAATCCTAGTTTACCAATTACTAGCTCTTTCAGAACTTTGGACAACTCACATAAAGTTCTGACTGAAATCTGGCTTGGATACATTGTCCCACTGACATTGGAAGTATCAGGTTGTGGCTGCTCATAGCACATGCCAGCCTTTTATGCACTTGGAAGCTCTTTAGGACAAAGGGGGCATCAACTAGGGTCACTATTTTCACAATTGTCCTTACACAGGAAGCATTTGGGTCAGCAGTTGTTCTGTCTTCTGCTTTTCCATCTCCAGCTCCTCGGTCCGCTCCCGGATTAATTCTTCCAGATTGCTGGAGTACTGCTCCAGCATCCGCAGCATGGAGTCAATGATATTGGTCCTTTTGCCCTTGTTGATGGCTTTGAACTGAGGAGCAAGAAGAATCAAGAAGTGATGGTTACCAGTGGCTGCTTGTGACTACCCATATTGATGGAGTTTTAGTTTTAATTTTAAAGAACAAGAAGCCAAATCCATTCAGAACAAAAGAGAATATTGGGTAGTTGTAGGTTTTTCGGGCTATATGGCCATGTTCTAGAAGATAATATTAGTGCTGTCAGATCTCACTGGATCTTATGACCAGTTCTGGGCTCTACAGTTTAAGAAGGATATCAACAAACTGGAAGGTGTCCAGAGAAGTACAATGAAGATGATTAAAGTTCTGGAAATGAAGCCCTATATGAAATGATTTAAGGAGACATACAGATTCTATGCAACTACATTGGATTTAAAATTACATGGCTAACAAACAAACAAAGGAGAATTACATTTTCATTCAACATTCACACACATGTACATGCATTCATCCTCATGCACCCAAATATTCTCCCTCCTTGGAGAAGCACCTGTTAGTCCAGACCCTGCTTTCCTGCAGCCTGTCAATGCATAGTTCCATAACGCCAAAAGTTCAAAATGATGAAATGCACAAACTTCTTTCCCTAAGAATGATGCAAAGGACCAGATCTCTGTTTTTCCATACAGCAGAACCTGATTCCCTCACAAAATCTAAGACTCCAGAAGCTCTTCTTCCTCTTCCCTTAAGAAGGAAGGCCAAAGTGGCCAGGCTGCTCCCTTGCAAATCTGCCACTCCATGGTACACTATCTGTCTCCTTCCTATGGAGCAGAGCATAGCGGGTGAACAGCATCTCTGTCTGTCACACTTTGAGCATTATTAGATTGAGTCTTTTATAGGAACATTCTACTGATGTAGTCCCAAGTTGTAAATTAATGATAGACATCTTCCATCCTGGATCCATCTCAATTTCCTGGCCAGATGTTGATCTTCTTGATTGGTGTTGATGTTATGTTGACTTCCTTCTTAACATTGTAAACATTTGTGTTATCACTTTCTAATTCTAATCAGAGTTTACTTAGAATCATAGAATCAAAGAGTTGGGCCATCCAGTCCAACCCCCTGCCAAGAAGCAGGAATATTGCATTCAAATCACCCCTGACAGATGGCCACCCAGCCTCTGTTTAAAAGCTTCCAAAGAAGGAGCATCTACCACGCTCCGGAGCAGAGAGTTCCACTGCTGAACGGCTCTCACAGTCAGGAAGTTCTACCTCATGTTCAGATGGAATCTCCTTTCTTGTAGTTTGAAGCCATTGTTCCGCGTCCTAGTCTCCAGGGAAGCAGAAAACAAGGTTGCTCCCTCCTTCCTGTGGCTTCCTCTCACATATTTATACATGGCTATCATATCTCCTCTCAACCTTCTCTTCTTCAGGCTAAACATGCCCAGCTCCTTAAGCCGCTCCTCATAGGGCTTGTTCTCCAGACCCTTGATCATTTTAGTCACCCTCCTCTGGACACATTCCAGCTTGTCAATATCTCTCTTGAATTTTTCAGCTTTTAATTACAGTCTGGCAAGCAGGTAGTTAGTCATTGCAGGCCTGGGTCTTTTACTGGTGTTTCCAAAATTATAAGCTCCATACATCCTTCCATTCATTCCCACACATCATATTAAATCCACATTTATAAAATCTGCACATTATTTTTTTGTGACATCATGGCAATTGAAGTGGTCTCAAACTGCATTAATTCTACAGTGTAGATGCACCCCATGACTCCCCAAAGCAGCCCCAACAATCCTGACCTGTTCAAAGATCTCATCAAAGGTGGGTCTTCGTTCAGGGGCTTCACTCCAGCATTGCTTCATCAACTGGATACACTCCCGAGGGTTATCTTCTGGAGGAACGTTGGGGCGGTACAAAGGCGGGGGCTTCTGCAACTTGCGTACAATTTCTAGATCAAAGAGAGACAGTATTCAAGACAATTCTGCCAAGTATTCAGTCGCCAATAAGTCCCAAAAATGCATTTCTTTGATCACATCTAAGTAACAGGCCTCCAGAGAGGGATTGCTCAATGGCAAAAGTTTTCGAAATGATAGTTCTGTTATATTATATTAGTCTGCTTCAGCATAGAACAAAATGAAGGAATCCAAAGGCGCCTTTGAAAATGATCTGTTTTAGCATGAGATTTCATGGATATCAGTCAAATTCCAAGATTCAGTGCATCTAAAGAAGTGGCTGATGCCCCTGAAAGCTCATGCAGAAATAAATCATTTCTCACAAATGCTATATTTGAGACTAATGAGGAGAAAGTTAAGAAGTTAATGGTATAAGAATTCAAAGGGTACATGGACACTGTTGAATTAATGAAAACTCTTACAATTATATTTATTTATTTATTTACTTCGCTTATATACCGCAATTCTCAGCCCAGGGGCGACTCACTGCGGTGTACAACATAGAAAAACAGGTGCAAAATACAAGACATAGTGTAAAATAATCCACAATTCTTCATTATCAAAAAACATCCTCATCAAAAACATCAACATTACTACAAAAACCATTCCGTGTCGTCTCATCGTCAAACCCACAATCCAGTATCATTTTCCGATGTTCCATTCCTATGGTCAAATTACCAATCATTGCACTTCTTGTTCAAATGCCTTGTTAAACAGCCAGGTCTTTAATTTCCTGTGGAATATCATCAGGGAGGGGGCTAGCCTGATGTCCACGGGAAGGGTGTTCCACAGCCGAGGAGCCACCACCGAGAAGGCCCTATCTCTCGTCCCCGCCAGCTGTGCCTGTGACGCAGGTGGGATCGAGAGCAGGGCCTCCCCGGACGATCTCAAAGTCCTCGTGGGCTCATAGGTCGAGAGGCAGTCAGTTAGGTATCTTGGGCTTTATAGGCCAATGCCAGCACCTTGAATTGAGCCCGGTAGCAGATCGGCAGCCAGTGGAGCTGGTACAGCAGGGGGGTTGTATGCTCCCTGCATCCCGCTCCTGTTAGTATCATGGCTGCCGCACGTTGGACCAGTTGGAGCTTCCGGGCCGTCTTCAAAGGCAACCCCACGTAGAGAGCGTTGCAGTAGTCTAAACGGGATGTAACCAGAGCGTGGACTACCGTGGCCAAGTCAGACTTCCCAAGGTACGGGCGCAGCTGGCGCACAAGCCTAAGCTGTGCAAATGCTCCCCTGGTCACCGCCGAGACCTGGGGTTCCAGGCTCAGCGATGAATCCAGGATCACACCCAAGCTGCGAACCTGCGTCTTCAAGGGGAGTGCGACCCCATCCAACACAGGCTGTAACCCTATACCCTGTTCGGCCTTGCGACTGACCAGGAGTACCTCTGTCTTGTCTGGATTCAATTTCAATTTGTTCGCCCTCATCCAGACCATTACAGCGGCCAGGCACCGGTTCAGGACCTCGACAGCCTCCTTAGTAGCAGGTGGGAAGGAGTGACAGAGTTGGACATCATCTGCGTACAGATGACACCGTACCCCGAAACTCCAGATGATCTCACCCAGCAGCTTCATGTAGATATTAAACAACATGGGGGACAGTATTGAACCCTGAGGAACCCCACACGACAAGGGTTGTGGGGTTGAACAGGTGTCTCCCAATAACACCTTCTGGTGTTACTTTGCTTTTATGTTCTATGTTTTGCATCCACGCTTATTATATTGGTTTAGGGGGTTAAGTTTGGGCAAGACCGAATTCAAATCAATACTCATCCTGTAACACAGGCTCCAATGACACCAACTTTGTGTCCAGATATGTTGGACTATAATAAGGAATTTGCTATGGCTTTTAGTCTGAACTTTAAAGGAGTTATCGAAGGCATGGGCAAACTTCAACTCTCCAAGTGTTTTGGACTACAACTCTTACAATTTGACACCACAGCTTGACACCACTTGAACTGTCATGGCTCAATGCTATGGAATTGTGAGATGTGTAGTTTGGTGAGGCACCAACAGTATTTGACAGAGAAGGCTAAAGACCTTATAAAACTACCACTCCCAGGATCCCATAGCATTGAGCCCTGGCAGTTCAAGTGGCATCAAGCTGTATTCATTCTACAGGGTAGATTCACCCCTCAGCCCCAGGCTATTTCATCAGATACAGAGTGAAATGAATAAAAGAGGCAATTTTAATAAGTGTTGCTTGCCAAACAGCCAAGACATAAGTGAACTCTACCAAAATGTCTTCTACGCAACCATTAAAATTACACTGTAAACCTGCCTTTGAACTTTCCTTTTTAACTTTTTTCTGTAATGGTTCAATTCCTTTGCTATTTTCTGCAAGTAGAATCATAGCTTTGGAAGGGATCACATGGGCCATCCAGTCCAGGAGAAGCACAATCAAAGCATCCCATCAGATGGCCATCCAGCCTCTGTCTAAAAGCCCCCAAAGAAAGAGCTTCCTTTCACTTGGATATCTTAAATTATTGAATTTCCTTCTTCCAGTTTTTGTGCCTTGTTTCTCCAAGCCTAATCCTGCTTTAAGGTGAAGCACACAAACGTGCAATAAAAGGAACTTCTGAAAACAAATCTAACTGAGTTCTTTGCCCTCAATAGCATTCTGCAAAGTGCAACAGACACACCTTGGTGTCAGAGAAGTGTTAGTAGCCCGCAGAATGTCTCAGCCCTTTTTACTCTCAATGTGATAAAAACTCAAAAAACACACATGAGTCTGTTGCTTTAAGTAGAAACAAAAATATAGTTCTATTCACTGTAGATCAAAAACACAAAGCAAAATAGAAGAATTGTTCTCACCAATATACAACAAATAATATATCCGAGACACTCACTGGAACACCCCAGCAAGCAAGAGTCCAAAAGTGGCAGGCTAAAACCCAGAACCTCAATCAATGGCTGATACCAAATGAGAGACTCCCCTGGGCACACAGAAAACTGGGCGACTTGGAAGGCACTGAACAGACTGTGCTCTGGCACCACGAGATGCAGAGCCAATCTTAAGAAATGGGGCTACAAAGTGGAATCCACGACATGCGAGTGTGGAGAAGAGCAAACCACTGACCACCTGCTGCAATGCAACCTGAGCCCTGCCACATGCACAAGGGAGGACCTTCTTGCGGCAACACCAGAGGCACTCCAAGTGGCCAGATACTGGTCAAAGGACATTTAATCAACTACCAAGCTTGCAAACTTTGTATTTTATCTGTTTGTTTATTTGTTTTTGTTAAAAATGTAATACAAGTGTCTGGTTGCTGATGACACGATAAATAAATATATCCAATGAGTCTTCTTTACACAACAATATACAAACACATAGCAAAATAATACAGTCTCTCTACTTAGTTATCAGTAAAATGTCCATATCCTGCCATAAACAAGCAGTCTCTCTGGCACTCCAAACTGTTTCAGTCTTCAGCTTCAGGATGCTGCATAACCGCTCCCACAAACAGCCAAAGGTTTCTTCAGCTCAAAAGGAGCCATCAAGCTAAGCCAAAATGCAAAGCTCAAAACTTGCAAGCCTAGTGTCTTGTTATATGCTGAAGCAGATAACACACCCAATTAACTTGTGGCAGCTGTAACAGAAAAGGTTCTGATCCTCCCTGTTACTTAGAACAAGCCAGTTGTAAACCCCTAGTAGCAACACTTGGCACCCTTGGTCAAATGCCACAAGACTGAAGAAACAATTGCTCACCTTCAGCTGATACTTCAGACATGCAGTATGGAGGGCCTCGAACGAGAACTTCTTGCAAAATGATGGCAAAACTGTAAACATCTCCTTTAAAGGTGCCCTTGGGGTACAACTGCAGGTCTCTAAGTATCTCCGGAGCTGTCCAGAGCAATTCTGCAAAAGAAAAGCCAAAATCTTGGGACTTATATTTGCAAGGTGATTCTAAAAGTGTAGCTCCCTTTTGGTATACAGTTGAAGAAGTGGACATATCATTCCATGAGTGGGAATCATGCAACCTGTTCCTGCCTCTCCAACAGGCCAGATTAGCAAGGACTGGGTTTGGCCTTTGGAACTAAAACAGTATCCACACTGTAGAATTATAGCAATTTGGCATCACATTAACTGCCATGGCTCAATGGTATAGAATTATGGGACATGTCATTTTTGTGAGATATTTACAATTCTCTATCAGGGAGTTTTCATGCCACAACAAACTACAACTCCAAAGATCCCATAGGATGGAGCCATGGCCATAAGTCTATAAAGTGAAGATTCCCCAAGTCTGGCATACAGAATTTCAAAGCTTCTCAGGTCAAAATCCTGATGTCCTATTTTATTTTGGGGACATTGCCCAACCAATATTGTCAGTTCATGGTCATGTAAGTGGAGTCTCATAGGTCAAAACATTTTGCTTACACATTGAATCCTGTAATTAGTCCCAAGTAATAGCAGAACCATTGAATCCATTGGATTTATCTATTTGTTGACTCGCTATTTGTTGATTCATTGGGTCCTTTCTGGGATCAACTAACAGGATTCCAGCCCAGCCTTGTACCTTCTTGGATTAGATGTATCATTGCAATTGCGAAGATATGAATTGTGCTGGCCTTACAGGGCAATAAGCAAGTTCACTGGTAGATATACATAGCGTGTTACTCAACAAAAGGGAGGCATAGCACCATTGAGATACAACTATGTACAGATGTATATGAGATCCAAACACAATGTCAGATCATAGATGAAGCATTTCAATTTTAAAGCTGTCAATCTGAGTTCACTTGTTGTTCTTGTTGTTGTTGTTGTTGTTGTTGTTGTTGTTGTTAATCCAAGTACACATTTTTACCTTCTGCTGGAGGCTGAATGTGTAGAGTGTTTTGTGCAGCCAACAGCCCAGTGTAACCATAGTCGGTGACTTTCAGTACGAATCGTCCATCTACCACACAATTACGGGACTTGAGACGCCCATGGCAAAGGTCTTGGTGGTGCAAATACTTCATGCCCTGGAAAACATAATATCACATTGGATTTTGGACAGCCCCAGAAGCTATGAACCTAAAACCAGGTTCAGAAGATACCAAGATAGCAATGTGTATATATGGAAGTGGGATATGAAGCCAATAGTTCATTCTTCTCCAACCTGATGCCTTCCAGACTTATTGTATTTCAGCTCCTATAATCATCTATGATGCCTTCCAGACATGTTGGACTACAACTCATCTACAACTCCTATAATCATCTATAAAAAAAATTAGGAGGTCCCCAATCCCTATCTCTTTAGAGTGTGGGACTGAGAGTTCTTTGCCATTGGTCACATAATCTGTGTCTTTTTGCAGGTTACCACCTTCTGGTCACCAACTCATGAACTACGTTGAAGTCCAAACAGGAGAATTATCAACACACTACATAAGTACAATGCAACTCCTGTATCTTTGGGACTTTGGTATCCATGGTTTCATTTATCCACATCTGACAAAATATGTCCTCCAGTGTAACTGTATAGTATTCTTGAACCAGAAGTCCTTCCTTTCGCATATCCACACAGCATCTGGAAAGATATCCCTGTGGATATGGGGATCATATTGCACTCTTAAGTCTTAGAATCTCAAAACATAATGAACAAGGGAGAATGGTGCATGGTGAGTCTCTCCCTCCTTGGCCAGTTTTATATCCTTCCCAGCCTCCAAATCTCCAATCAGAGAATTTAGTGGCCTTTTTTAAACAACCTTATCTTGGTAGTCTTTACTCTGCTAAATAACGTCTAGTGACCATGGGTTCTGGGCTGCCTTCCATTGGATTGCATCAGCCATCGTATTGCATCAGCCAGTGATCCTTTAAGGCTATACAGCTAACTCTTCACAAGCTTTCCTGGATTCATTATAAATCAATTGCTTATTTATTTATTTTTTAAGCATACCATATTGTTTTTCTTAGGTGTGCTTCATGTCCAGAATTAGCATATATGCACACTCGTACTATTACATATAGAGACAATTCCATGTTGTACTTTGCTTCATGTTCTATGCTTTGCAACCATGCTTATTATATTCATTTAAGGGGTTAAATTTGGGCAAAACTGAATTCAAATCAACATTCATCCTATAACACAGGCTCCAATGACAGCAACTTTGTGTCCTCCATATATGTTGGGCTATAATTTCCAGATCCGCCTAGTCAAAGCCATGGTATTCCCTGTAGTCACCTACGGATGTGAGAGCTGGACCTTAGGGAAGGCTGAGCGAAGGAAGAGAGATGCTTTTGAGCTGTGGTGTTGGAGGAAAGTTCTGAGAGTGCCTTGGACTGCGAGAAGATCCAACCAGTCCATCCTCCAGGAAATAAAGCCCGACGGCTCATTGGAGGGAAGGATACTAGAGACAAAGTTGAAGTACTTTGGCCACATCATGAGGAGAGAGCAAAGCCTGGAGAAGACAATCATGCTGGGGAAAGTGGAAGGAAAAAGGAAGAGGGGCCGACCAAGGGCAAGATGGATGGATGGCATCCTTGAAGTGACTGGACTGACCTTGAAGGAGCTGGGGGTGGTGACGGCCGACAGGGAGCTCTGGCGTGGGCTGGTCCATGAGGTCACAAAGAGTCGGAGACGACTGAACGAATGAACAACAACATAATTTCCAGAACAATAAAGAATTCACCATGGATTTTAGTCTGAACTTTAAAGAAGCTATTCCAGGCATGAGCAAACTTCAGCCCTCAAGGTGTTTTGGACTTCAACTCCCACAATTCCTAACAACCTATCGGCTATATGAGCTATCCTTATAGGTGTACCACCTTAGCTAACTCCTCCAAAGTTTGAATGAAAGTCTAAAGTAGACACACTGACTTAGAAAGCCCTTCTCAACTGATTCCAACCTTGGTGTAAGAAGAGACCTTACTTTGATTAAGTCCATCAGAAGAGATGATTTGAACATCCAATCCAGCTTTAAATCTGTATTTCGTAGTAAATCCTCCAGGCTTCCTCTGGAGCAATACTCCATCACAAGAGCAGAGAGGGCTCCGTCAGATAAAAGACCAAAAAAAGGGTTTATGTTTTCATGGCGTACATCTTTCATCTGAGAAGAGAAGAACGAAATCACCAGAGAATGAAGATCTTCCCTTGTGCAGTATTTCTTGGATTATTTTCTCGCCTTCCTTTCTACCACTGAAAAGGAATCTAGATGGCCAGTAATATCATGAAAAAAGAGCTTGGACAGTTAATTTATTCCCTCACTCATTACTATATATTTTTAAATCATTATCTCCACTTCTTTCAGGGATGGTGAAAGTAACTTAAATTACTTTTTGCATTACTAACCTCTTTAAAAAAAGTTACAACTAAGAAATAATAATGCTACTACTACTACTACTACTACTAATAATAATAATAATAATAATAATAATAATAATAATAATACAGTATTTAAAAACTCTAAAATTACAACAGCAAAACAGCACAGGGGAATCAGGCACATCTAATCACCTCTCAACAAAAGATTCCCCCAGGCACAGCCAAGCCATCAAATGCTAATGAAGGTGGTCAGTTGAAACATTCACACCTAGCTCCAGCAGACAAGAGTTCTTTGCCCCACCATAGTCATTCCACAGATATATAAACCCATTTTCCTAGTTCCAACAGACCTCACTACCTCTGAGGATGCTTGCCATAGATGCAGGCGAAGCGTCAGGAGAAAATGCCTCTAGAACATGGCCATATAGCCTGAGAAAACCTACAAGAACCTACTGATTCCAGCCATGAAAGCCTTCGACAATACAATGATAATACACTTTATTTATGTTCTGCTTTACCTCCCCATGGGGACTCGAAGCAGATTACAGCACACACAGATAGGCGAACATTCAGTGCTTTTAATACAGTGAAACAACAATGACACACAAATACACAGAACAAAGGTAAATAAAGGCTTCTCCTTTCATATAGCTTCTGGAGGCAGTGCTCTACTCTGGCCATTGGCGTGCCCTTGCTCTATTTCCAAGCCGAGGAGCCTGTTGTCCATAGACACCTCCTGGTCATGTTGCCAGCATGGCTGCATGGGCACCTTTATTACCTTCCTGCCAAAGTAGTACCTATTTGTCACACCTCAGAGTAGATTCACCTTGCTGAAATCACCAAACTGCACATGGACTGAAGTCTTTGTAGTTTATTGAAAAGTAAAAGATAAAAAGTTCTTAAAAGCAAGTAATGTTCCAAAAGATCAATAAAACATAGCACTGTAAAGCAGGATTCCAAGAGGCACCAACAAAATGAAATCTCATTAAAGCATGCCAAAGTCCCAAGACCATGGACACAAGAACTACAAGATAATCGTGGCAAATGAGCACAAGCTGCTTGGTTGAGCAAAAAGTTGCTCTGACAAATTTTTGTTTTCAAACACACTGCTTAACGCCTTTTGCAATACATGAAAGCATTTCTTTGGCCTCTGACCTCCTTCTTGTTGGTTATTCTCACACTCCTTCGAACTCTGAATTCCAAACGGTCAGCCCGATCTAAGATTCCCGTTTCATCAAGGTCAGGGTGCTCGTTAGTGTCAGCCTGGTTGCCTTCTTGCTTACTATCAGGCTGAGAACTGTCCTCCTTTTTTGAGTCAATTTGCACCTGGCTAGTGTCAGTATCAAAAACATCATTCCCTACTGTGGGAAACTGAACTTGCACACCCTGTTCCTCATTGTCTACAACAGGAACATTTTGAACCTGATTGTGAACCTGAATCCCATCATCCTCGTCAAAGTCACTCTGAGATCCCATCTGAGTCTCAACACTATCGGTCTGTAGTTCCAGCTGAGTCACAACACTATTTGAACTTCTAGGTTGGCAGGAGCTAGGCCTAACAGTGGGAGCTCACCCCAACCTGCAGCTTTGAGCTGCCAACCTTTAGGTCAGCAGATTCAACAGTCCAATGGTTTAACTCATTGCTCATGATATTGTCAAAATACCCTACAATGTTTTGAAACTGGTTAGAAAGCAATATTAGAAAGTAATATGAAAACAGTTCCAAATTATTGTTTGTTACTCCACGAGGTGGTGCAGTGGGTTAAACCACTGAGCTACTGAACATGCTTCAAACTACAAGAGAGGATATTCCATCTGAACATGAGGAAGAACTTCCTGACTGTGAGAGCCGTTCAGCAGTGGAACTCTCTGCCCCGGAGTTAGGTGGAGGCTCCTTCTTTGGAAGCTTTTAAACAGAGGCTAGATGGCCATCTGTCAGGGGTGATTTGAATGCAATATCCCTGCTTCTTGGCAGGGGGTTGGACTGGCCCATGAGGTCATCCAGTCCAATTGATTCTATAATTCTATGATTCTAATCTCCCGTTGTTAGCCCAGCTTCTGCCAACCTAGCAATTTTAAAATGTGAGTAGACCAATAGGTAGCGTTCTTGCAGGGAGGTAACGGCGCTCCATGCAGTCATGCCAGCCACATGACCTAGGAGGTGTCTATGGAAAATGCCGGCTCTTTGGCTTAGAAATGGAGATTAGCACCACCCCCTAGAGTTGGATACAACTGGACTTAATATCAGGGGGAAACCTTTACCTACTCTTTAATGGTGCCCCTAGTTGTTATGTCACTCTTGGAACGTTGTTGCACCAAAAGTAACTACTAGTCACAACTAATCTTAAAACTTGTTCCAAGATTAAAACAACATTTAATCCAGAACTTAACTATTTCAATATCACAACAAACAAATATTAAAATGAACCATTTGAAAGGTCAGCCAGATGTTTTAAGCTTCTTCAAACAGTTCCAGGTTGAAATTTGTTTTGAATGCTAACATTGTCTCAATTCTTCTGTAAACTGCTAATTGTTGATTGATAAATTGTTTTAATTATCCAATGCCTTTCCATTGTTTCCAGACTGCCTAAACAAACCTTCATTGTTCCTACTCTAAATTGTTCCTAATGGCTTTAAAACTGATTTAATCTCTCTGCTACTTTGAGATCTTGTGATATAGGAAGGAAGGAAGGAAGGAAGGAAGGAAGGAAGGAAGGAAGGAAGGAAGGAAGGAAGGAAGGAAGGAAGGAAGGAAAGGAAGAGGAAGGAAGGAAGGAAGGAAGGAAGTATTGATGCCCTTTCTTAAGGCAACAATAATAATTTCAAATTGGTCTAAACATGGGTGCATCTCCACCAGGCATGGGTCAACTTGGGCCTTCCTCCAGGTTTTTGGACTTCAACTCCCACATTCCTAACAGCCTATCGGCTGTTAGGAATGTGGAAGTTGAAGTCCAAACCTGGAGGAAGGCCCAAGTTTGCCCATGCCTGAGCTACACTGTAAAATTAATGCATCTCCAAGTTCTTTTAAAAGAAGAATAGTAGAGACCCTTTGGAGATGTTTCAATAAAGGCTAGACGGACCTCTGTCGGGAGGGTTTTGATTGTGTCTTACTGCATGGCAGAAAGGGGTAGGACTGGGTGGACCTCTGGAGTCTCTTCTACCTCTTCCACGATTCAATGACAGACACCACAAAAGATATATCTGCAAACATATATGTTGATGGTCATGGCTGATCCCTACCTTGCTCAGCAAGCAGGCAGTACTCTGTCTCAAATCAGTGATTACTCCAGACTCCAGCTTCTTCAACCATACCCAGTCTCCCTGCCAGAAAAGCACAGGCAACTGAGAAATAACATCAGCAAAGATGCTTCTACACTGCAGATTTAATGCAGGTTTGCACCGCGTTTGCAGCAGTGGCTCAATGCTATGGAATCCTGGGATTTGTAGAATGGTCCCTGACTGGCTATAATGATCCCTGTTTTAGGCAGAATGATCCCTCATTGTAGAATGATATCTGACTGACTAATCCATAGTTAGTTAGAATCATCTCTGTTTGGGTAGAATGCCACCCTGAGTTGCCTTCGGGCTGATATGGGTGGGATAGAAATAATGTAAATAAATAAATAAATGATCAGCCTCAAAAAGATGTCGAGCACTCCCCCCCCCCAAATTAAGGGATAGTGACTTATAGTTCTGCAAAGGGCAAGGGCACCAGACTACACAACAAGGGTTAAGTCTTGGTCACATTGCCAAGGCACTGACAACAACAAGGACCCCACGAGGCTTTTTGGGAAATGGCTGGATCTTGGGACTTCTGCCCTTTTGTGAGAGTTGTAGTTCCCCAAGGGCTGAACGATGGATTCTGTTATTGATCAACTCAGCGCCCATCTGCTGATTCCAGCCTGAATCCATGACTCTCTGCTGAGTGGACTGGACTGTTTGCCACAACCCTGGCCATGAACTTTCTATCAATGCTTGATTTGAACTGCTAGCAACCTCTGCTTCCACGCGCCCTTCCTAAGAGCATGGGATTTCCAGTTTGGACCTTAATAAAGATCAAATATTGAAATAAACTTTATGGGGTGGGATGGGGGTTCCTCTTATGAACTAACTCTGTATCAGTGATGCCTATTGCCTATGATTTTGATATATGTATGTAACCTTATGAATTTCCTCTGTACCCTCGTCCCCTTGACCCTTGCCCCACAAAAACTGCTGTGACCAGGAACTGCCTGAGGGAGGGCTCCAGCCTCTCCCTCAATCACCCTTGATTGCTTCACTTGCATGGACAATACTGTTGTTTCCCCCAACCCTGGCCCTCGGAGCAGACCAGCGAGGGGAGGGGGGTCAACAGAAACTCGGAAAGAAAAGACTGATTAAATCACCCAGGTATCGTTGATCCCCCCTGAGGTCCGATATCGAAAAAGCCATTCATATCCCCCTCCAAAGCTCATCAAGGACAGGAAAGCTTTTGTTTGCTAGGATCACACCTTGCCGGCCTGAGACAAAGGCTTGCTGGCAACTCCTAATCCCATCATTTCCCCCCTCCTTTGTCCGAGGCCGCACCGCCTCCTCTCACCAAATATGGCACACAGAACTCCCACGACAAACTGAAAATATATATCAATGATTGGTTGGGGGGTGGGGGGTGGGCGCCAAAATACTGTTTGCTTACCGTTGAAAATTACCTAGGGCTGCCTCTGTTCATGTCTTCCAGTAGTTCAAGCTTAAAGGGTTATTCTTGAGTTCTGTGTTCTTGATTTTATGCTGCCTTGTTGTATCCCAATTCTTTTGCATTCCTGGTTTTTGATTCAACTCTTGTACCTTAGATTTTATGGACTACTGAATATTTTTGGATTTAGATGTTTCTTACTATTTTGAAGAACATATAATTTTTATATATTCTTCAACAAACTACTTTTCTGATTTATACCGACTGGAGCATGGTGGTTAAGTATAGAGGTGCTCCTGCCTTGGAGCATAACACTCCTCCTCATTTCTGTTCACATAGAAAAGCATCTCATATGTAAAGGGTTTGATACAATTTTGTTACAATATTCAGAAGTCAGAGTGGCGATTGCACAATAGAGGGAAGGAAAAAACAAACAAACAACCAGTATATGTGAATGAATAATTTTCAGAAAATTTTAGAAAGTCCCCAGGGTGAAGAAATAATATAGCATAATATACATAACAAAAAGACACTTAAATATACAACACTTTTAATTCAGGATCTCCACAGCTGTATCCAATGACTCCCCATTCCTATTTTTGGAAGGTTATAACAACTAGGAAAAGCTACAATTGAATTCTGACCATTTTGTGGCCGTAATTCAGGTTGGATCTACACTGCCATATAACGCAGTTTCAGAATACAGATTATTGAACTGGATTATATGAGCCTTTCCGCTATCATAATACCTACCAAAGGTATCACAACACTATGGATTAAGATTTAATTTATGGTCAAAATGACTGCCAATATGTGTATAACAGAGAGGCAAGTCATGATTTTTTGCCTGGTTTGAATGAAATATTTAAAGGTAAATTTCTGAATTACAGTTCTTTCCCCGCTTGAATTTTCAATTCATACAATCATGTATCTTATATATACCTCATTCACAGCGAGAAAAAAATAGCTGTTTCATAAGAACGCTATTATGTTAAAACACGAAAGGAAAACTGGGTGCCGCTTCAAATGCTGTATTCTCTTTTGCTTTTTTAGAAAAATCAAAGTGTATGAAGATGTCACGCCTCAAACAGACTCTACTAACTTTTATTAGTAAGTGATTGCCTCAAAGTGAGAAATGCAAAGTGAGAAACACAGTTACATGGTTTTCTATAGCAGAGCTGAGAATGGTTGATACCTCTTAGAAGATGGGAAAGGGTCCAGCTGCTGAGACAGCACACCATTGCTGCAAACCATTGGAAAGGCATTTAGTATTAACTCCAAAGGCAGTTTTAAGCCTCCTCACTTGCCAGAAGGAGTTTGCCAGGAGAAAGATATATTTTAAGATCTTGATACCGAATTTTTCATGATCTGCCACTTGCGGTTGATCTTCACTTTAGTCTATCATTCATCTGTTCCATAAAAAAACCAGATGTTAGGTCTGCTTATTTTAATTCATTTTTCTTCTTCTTTTGTATTGTGGCAGTACTCTAAATAGTGCCAGAAATCTAATCTCAACTGCAGTAGCGTACCATCTCAACTACTCCATAGCCTATGAATCTAGGATTTAGCTCATTTTCACTTTTTTGCCACCCATCAGGTGCTTCTCTTTCTATGGAGTAGAAAGACAATATCCCAATTGATATTTCGATATGGAGATTGGAGAATTCTCCAACCAGCATAGACACTGAGCAAACTGGCAAGGAGGATTTTGGTGGCTATAGTCCAAAATCATAGAATCATAGAATCAAAGAGTTGGAAGAGACCTCATGGGCCATCCAGTCCAACCCCCTGCCAAGAAACAGGAATATTGCATTCAAATCACCCCTGACAGATGGCCATCCAGCCTCTGTTTAAAAGCTTCCAAAGAAGGAGCCTCCACCACACTCCGGGGCAGAGAGTTCCACTGCTGAATGGCTCTCACAGTCAGGAAGTTCTTCCTCATGTTCAGATGGAATCTCCTTTCTTGTAGTTTGAAGCCATTGTTCCGCATCCCAGTCTCCAGGGAAACAGAAAATAAGCTTGCTCCCTCCTCCCTGTGGCTTCCTCTCACATATTTATACATGGCTATCATATCTCCTCTCAGCCTTCTTTTCTTCAGGCTAAACATGCCCAGGTCCTTAAGCCGCTCCTCATAGGGCTTGTTCTCCAGACCCTTGATCATTTTAGTCGCCCTCCTCTGGACACATTCCACCTTGTCAATATCTCTCTTAAATTGTGGTGCCCAGAATTGGACATAATATTCGAGGTGTGGTCTAGCCAAAGCGGAATAGAGGGGTAGCATTACTTCCCTAGATCTAGACACTATGCTCCTATTGATGCAGGCCAAAATCCTATTGGCTTTTTTTGCTGCCACATGACATTGTTGGCTCATGTTTAACTTGCTGTCCATGAGGACTCCCAAGATCTTTTTCACACGTACTGCTCTCGAGCCAGGCATTGTCCCACATTCTGTATCTTTGCATTTCGTTTTTTCTGCCTAAGTCGAGTATCTTGCATTTGTCACTGTTGAACTTCATTTTGTTAGTTTTGGCCCATCTCTCTAATCTGTCA